ATGAGCGCTGCCCCCTTCAGAAGGGCAAAATGAGGCCAACACCTTCGTAAAATCAATGATTTTGCCTTGAAAGGAAGAGGGGAACTTTAATTGGCGCTGCCCCCTCAGAAGTCCAACATGGGGCCAACACCGTAGTACAATCAATGATTTTGGCTTCACAGAAGAGGAGGGTTTTTTCCCCCCCCCCCCCGTCGGGGCCAGAATCCTCGTGAGGGGTGTCGTTTTTTAGCCCTCCGAGGAGTCGAAAATGACTCCCCTGACGACCCGCGGAGGGACCTCTCCAGGCCCAGGGGTGGGGGTAGGGGGAGGGGTAAACCCCTCCCCGAAGGGGAAGAAGGGGGGTTGAGAACAGAGCGGGCTCTCTAAACCACTCACGCCCAAAGGGCTGGTGGGACTAGCTGCAAAGAGCTCGCAGAGACGACGGGCGTGGATCAGCGCGGAGAGTCTCGAGCTCTCCTCTGGCGCCGTTGCAGTTCTTCGCATAATCAAGATATGCGAGAACCTCGATCCAATACTGGGTCCTGCGCATGGAGAAGCCAGGCGCCAGCTGCAAGGATGCGCCGAGGTGCTGGTCCATCCAACTCGCAGAGGCCATCAGCGGCTCGTAGCAGGCCCCCCCCCCCCCCCCCCCCCCCCCCCAATATTCTAAACGCCGCCCGCTAGCGACGCCCCGATGCAACAGGAGTTCTCTCGACGTGCTAGCGAACAGGCATAAGGTGATCATGGACTGACGCTTGCCCTTATTGCCAGGATTGGCCCTCGTGTCTGCGTGGTTCCAATGCGACGCCATGCGGCGGCGCCCGCGCGTGGCCGCGTCCTCGAACTCAACGTGTTGGTGAGGCGGGTGGAACCTAACTTACTGGGGGTGTGCTACCCAGCCATGAAGTGCGCGGCTAAGCTCGAAGTCCACTCCGACGCGGCGTGCCGCATAGAACAGAGGGAAGGTGCACGTGTAGGTCGTGCCTGGCGCGGTGCAGTATTCCAGCGCTAGAGCTTCACATCTTCAACAACCACGCCGTCGCCCTTTGCTGGCCCCATCCCCTACCACCTCTTGGGGTAGCAGCGTGAAGCTCAACCTTCGCGAGTGAATTGGCTGCCGCGATCTCATCTACGGATCGTGGTCTTGCGTTTGCTATTCTGTTTCACGAGGTGGCTAAAGGGCCGCGCGGACCATGCGCCGCGCGTTGCAGGCGAGGCGGGCAGCAGGCTTCGGCTGTGCAGCTCGAGCTTTGCCTGGGCTCCATGGGCGTCGTCGCCGCTGTGGTTGCCGCTAGGACCCTGCTTCCGGCATAGCACTCGCTGCTGCCGCATCTTGTGGCTTCGAGACCTCCGGTGCTCGGGTCATCGTCGGCCTCGAGCTTGGAGGAAGCCCGCGACGTGGTTGCGGATGGGCTCGCGGAAGTCTGCATCGACCGTGCAGCTTCCCGCTCGGTGTCCAGCCAGTACCGCTGGAGAGACCGCATCCCAGATGCGTTGCCATCAAAGCTACGGCCAAGCTCTCTGTACTATTTGGTCATTAGCGCAAGCCTTCCGATGGGGGCTACCAGCAGTGACTAGCGTGACTGTCAGGCTCCAGTCTGGCCTGTCCACAACTAACCTCTGAAGGTGCCAGGTGGCTAGGGTGTATCCATAGCCTTCTCTTGACTCGGATGAGTGGCGCGGCGGGCACTTTACGGAGTTGGTAGTAACGCAGTTGCAAGTGATGTGCATCGTTGAACGATGACATGTGTTCGCGTGTGCGCGTGTGCGACGTCCGCGGCCGCTTGCATGTCCAGTGCGCGGGCCGCGCGCGCGGCGCGGGGCGCTCGCGCGCGCGCCCGCGCCAGTCAGCCCTCCTACGGGGCCTGCGCTCGCGCCCGAGAGGGCGACGCGCGCGGCCGTGCCGGAGGAGAAGGCCGCCGCGGCCGAGCGGCCGGCCGCGCCGTCGAGGCGAGCGCCAGCCCGCTTCCGCGTCGCCGGAGTAGAGCGTTAGCCAAGTGCGCTTCTCTCAAATCATGCGCGATGGTTCACCCACCAGGGATGCTGCCCACGACTCCTGCGGCGGTGTCGCAGCGGCGCGCCCGTCGTGCACAACCTCCACCGTTATACTTGGGGAGCTCCCTCCAGGAAGGAAATCCCTAAAATAATAAAAGTACTCCCAAAGATATCCCTTTTAAGGTTTTGAAATGTTATAGCGTTTTCGTGTTTTTTTTCCAACATAGGTTATAGCACGCACGTTCGTGTCCTAACGTTGTACCTCGGTCGGGGTCGGTAGCTTCGCTATCGACGGGGCTGCGACCCGAACGTTGGACAATCAATCAATGGATTTAAACTGACGCGTGCACGACGAGGTCGGGGCCCTGCCGCTGACAGCAGGGGGCAACGCAATCGTGGCTGGCGCGGCGGAACAGGCGGCCAGAGAAGACCCTGCCCCCCCGCGCGAACTCCGACGACGAAAACGTGTCATGTCCAATACATTACCGTTCGTACGTGACCCTGAAGCTCCGATGCCGCCCAGAACACCCGCAGATTTGCTAGCCACCCAATGTCCCCCGCGTGGCGGCCCGATCTTCCCGAACAAGGCGGGGGGGGGCCTGGGCCGAAGGAAGACGGCCCGCAAGAAGCGAGGAAGAAGAGGAGGAGGACGACGACGACGACAAGGACGGCGTGGGCGCCGAAGGCGAGCAACACGGCGACGACGGGAGTTGGTCAGCAGGAAGGAAACCAAGGAAGCGAGATACGATTACATATTAGAGGAAGTGGCGACCCAAACCTGCTTGCCCCCGAACGCCCGCGCACTGCACGGGCTGGCCGTGGCCGCCCCCGCTGGAACAAATGCGGCGCTGGGAGCGCATGCCAGATGGCACCTGTGAGCGGGCGGGCAAGGGGGGGGGGGGCGGGCGGCATAATTGATGAACGGTTTATCCGAAACATATTTTCACGTCGCCACTGCGCTGCAAACCATGAGACACCTTCCAACAAAAACTCGGCTATCACAGAGCAACTGTCCTTGGCGCGCTAAAAGGTGGTGCTGGACATCCTGCGCGCCATGGTCTAGAGAGAGCGCCCACGCGGGGCGAGAAAAACAGCTTTCTCGCCCAAGCCAGAGGCACCGCGGGGGCCCCTCTCGGGGCAGATCCGCCGACCCCCGCGGTGCCACCCAGCTGCCGATGCGCTGCCTCGCAGCCCCAAATGTCTCGCCAGGGGCGCGCAACGCAGCGGCCGAAATGCCGACTGCGTTGGAAACCAGATGCGCAATAGGACGCGCGCGCGCGCCCATGGGCGCGCGCGTGGTACCGCCAGCGGCGGCAATGGTCTCAGACAAAACCCGCCCACCCATTACCCTCTGCGGTGGGAAGGGCGCGCTCACCCCCACCCCGCCGCACCCGCGGGATCTGGGCTGGGCGCTCCGAGATGCGTCAGAGCGCCCGAGATGGCCCAGGATGGCATCAAGATGGACCGAGAGAGCCTGTGGCGATATCCAAGGTTAACCCAGCTTACACAATGTTATCAAATATGGCCCCGATCATGCGTTCAAAGGGGTCCGACGCTGCCCCCATGCGGCGTCGAATGGATGCGAGCGCCCCCCAAGGACGCACCCGAGATGCCAAACCCCTTTCCAGTGCCCACAAAAGGCCAACGGGCGTTGCCATCTCGCCGTTTCGCTCCCAACGGCCCCCCGAGGCCTCAAGACGGCTCCCAAATAAGCAGCGAGACACCGAAACGAAGGCCAATGAAAGCCCCGAAAGCCCCGAAGGCGCAGAATAGCGCCGCAATGGCGCCCTAGTGGGACCCAAAAGCTCGACTTCGGAAGGGGGTGCGGGAAATCCGACACTACTTGAAACATTCCCAAACATGTGCTCACTGTCATCAAAGATGGCCTCAACAAGTCACCTATTGGGCCCCCTGCGAGGGCCTCCGTAGACCCCCCTCAGTGGGCTCCACTATGGGCCCAGGAGGGGACTAGATATTCCAATAGGGCTTCCGACATTTGCCGATGTGCCCCAAGATGGCACCGAGGGCCTCCCACCAAGGCCTTGAGAGGCCCACCCTAGGGACCCCGAGAAGACACCGACATGGCTCCAAGACGGCACTGAGCAAATACAACCAGAGGGCGCCCAGCATGGCATGCGACACCCCGAGATTGCACTACGTGGGCCCAGGTTGGCTCTAATTGGCGCGCAGGGGCCTCCCCGAATGACATTACCAACAATGCCTGCATGTGTCGCCCCTGCTGCCGTTACCGCCGCCGTCGCAGCCGCTTCTTCTCATGCGCGGGGCGGCGAGTCTGGGATTCGTTTGTGGATGGGCTGGCGGGGGTACGCGAATCGTCAATAATCGAGGCGCTAAGGGGCACAACCAAGAACCATAACCCATAACACGATGTGGAGCAGGAGGTCCGCATGCCCCGACGCGCGCTGCGATCATCCGCCCCGCGCTGCCGAGAGACTGCATGTCACGTGCATTGTGCGAGCGATCAAGGCGCCAATGCGGCGCGCCGTGAATGACAACATCGCGCGCGGCAGCATTTGGCGAGCTGGGTGTGCAACCATATGCCAAGATACTGCGCGGTGCAATGCGTTGCGCTGACCAACGGGTGGCGCCCGTGCTTGGTAATGGTTTGTTTCCGACGTGCGCGTCAAGATCGTTAAGATATGCGGGGCGGAGGGGCGCAAACAATGACCCACTCAACGAAAACATCGCGCAGACAAGCGTGCCATGACGTCGTGCTATACACATGTGCACTGTCGGGTGAACAATGTGAACACAGTCTGGGGTCCACGCGTGCTTCCACCGTGAAACACTGTCTATGGCAAACGCATGCCTCAACCTTGCGCCGCCCGCGCGACCTGTTCCAGACAGCGTGGCGCCATGCAGCGCCGTGCCATAAGAGAGCAAAGTGAAAGGACGCACGGCGCCCGCGGGCGCTGGTGCGGCAATCCTCATTGATCCGCCGCAGGCGGGGCTATCGCGCCTGCGCTGCACCGAGCCGAAGCTCAGATGCCCGCTATCGGCCACTACTACGGGAACGATTGCAACTTCATCGCAGACTGCATTCGGACCACCAGCATCGGCGGGAGATCGCCCTTCGCGATGCCGTACTTCAGATGGCCCTCAATCTCGCTCCTCGTGGCCATCCTCAATGCTGGCTTGTCGAACCCCGTGGCCAAGTAGGATTTCATGAGGTTGTGAGCAGACAGAGTCACCCGCGCAACCTTGAGCGAGTCGTTCACCTCTGTCCAGGCCGTGCCCTCGCCTTCGGCGATGCCGAAACTGTTGCCGAGCTCGTCGTACTTCTCCCGTGCAGCCTGCGCCTCGGAGATCAGCGCCGCCAACTTCTTCGAATCGCATTTCATCAAGGAGGGCTCGGCTCTCGAGACGAAGGCTCCCCAGCCATCAGCCACATCAGGCAAGTTCGCAGACCAGGCGTCATCGCTGCCCTCAACCTTGCAGGCGGCAACGTCAATCATCTCGGCGATCATGCTGGCGGATTCTTCTTTGATCTGCACGCGGTAGTGCTGCCCTGCCTCAGCGAGCCCAGAGGAGACGAGAATCCACATGTTCTGGGAAACGTCTTTGGATCCAGGGAATGCTGCGCTGCAGTTCTTGATCGAACCATTCAGCTCCTTCACAGTGCGAGTCAAGGAGAGGGCATCGTGCGCGCTGATATCCTTGAGGCCATTGATCTTCTTGTTGTCCGACGGGTCGGGCTCGGTCGCCTTCAGAACGGTGGCCGAGCTCGACAGGGTTTTGGACGCCGCCTTGAACGCGGCCTTCTTCTCAGTGCTGGCGATGCAGACGACGTAGTCCAGAATGCTGGCGAGCGAGTCGCACATATCTGTTTTGGCGTAGACCCCATCCAGCGAATGATCCCCCGCCCACAGCGACGCAAAGACACCGGCAACGATATCTTTCAACAAGCCCTCGGCGTCCTTGACGAAGTCCTCCGGAGACAGCAGGCCCCCCTTCTCGCGAAGGGCAGCCGCCAACTCTTTCAGCAATGAGGCTGATGACGACACGTCCTGGTTGATTGCCTGAAACTTGTTGACGATGCCTGTAGTGAAAGTCGCGTTTGCCATGTTACTCAACATGCCCCCGCAGCCTTCGATAAACATGTCGTACTGGGTCTTATCGGAGAACTTCTGCCAGCAACCCTGGAACAAAACCTGAGCGGTTGCCACGGTAGCGTTGAACTCATCCGTCTTCTCTCCATCTTCTGTGCTTGTTTTGGCCAGCTTCTGATACAGCAGGTCCGTCTTGCGATGTATGTAGTCCTCAAGCACAGAGCACATGCCAGGAGAGAACAGCCCCGAGTACTGCTTGAAATACGTGAGCCCCTCATCAATCACGTGAATCATATCTTTGAAGCTGGAGCTCGTGCTGATGTCAACCAGCCTCTTCAGGTGATGTTGCATCTGGGGGCCGCGCTTCCTGATCACGTCAAGGTCCTTCATCAAGGTCGACATCTTACTGCTCAAGAACTCATTGCGGCAGATGGAAGCCCCGACCTCCTGCAACACTGACGTGCCGACGGTCTTTTCGGATGCTTTGTGCAACGACTCCACGTCAGACAAATGATCAAACTTCTTGGCGATCGTGATGTTGCCCTGGGTAACTGCCGTGAACCCCCGAATCGAAATGTAGATGCTATCGCACACGCCCATGACTTCGTGAGAGGTTTCGACCTCGTCTGGCAAGTCCAACAACTCATTCAACTTCCTGCACGCCCCCGTCGTGCTGTTAACGTTGGCCTCGTTCGTGTTCTTGATGATCTGGCAGAGGAACCTCTTGATGAGAAACGTGCTCATGATATGGGATTGCCCCGCGCCAGGAACGATTGAGGAGATCGGGTGCACCTGGGGCTTCAAGACGTCAAAGACTGGAGGGCCGTCGCCACTGGCGGGGCGGCTAGGAAGAGGCCATGGCAACACGCAAGACACCAGCTCTTCGATGTCGGACTCCCTGATGAGCATGCTTGACGTCGACGCGGAAACCAACTCGTTGGCCCTCTTTTCCACGAGCGCGATCAACACACGACCTGGAGGGGCCACATCGATCAAGACCATCTCCGAAAATGCATCTCGAATGTCTGGCCACGACGTCGTCCCAACCTCTTTCGGAGAGACCTTTGGGAAGACGCCGATGCGAGCAACGTGCTTGCGGAGCGCGTGCGTAGTCTGATCTTCGGGGAACTTGGTCTCGTATCTCGTCGCGCACTCCGAAGCCTGGTGCACATCGCGCTTGTCGGTGGTGCCTTGAAGCGCGTGCTCGAACTTCAGCTTCGCGATCCAGTAGGTCGGGTTCTTGCTGGCTCTGGCGGAGCCCCTGCCCTTGCCGCCGCCTTTATCAGACGTCGCGGCGATCGACTCGCCAGCAACCGATGTGGCCGAGTCAGGAACTGCAAGAGGGCCATCTTCATCATCAGCATCTCGAACTGAAGAGTGCTCGAAAGTCACAGTCATGAGCCCCTTCTTGGACCCGTCGAAGAAGATCTGGATACCCACGGAGGTCGCAGCCGCCGCCGAGGGCATTGGGCCTGGGCCGCGCGCGTGCTTGGACGCCGAAGCAACGCTCGAGCACCGACTCGGTGAAGGCGAGGGCTGGGGCAGACGACCGTCAGGAAGAAGACTGCACGGTGGGCTGGCGGCCGTAAGGCCGCGGGCAGGCGGCGGGGTGCTAAGCATAGGCGCGCTACCTAAAGCTGCTAAGCCTCCGTCACCTCCTGGGCCGCCGACGCTGTTGGCGCCGCCAGCGTCTTCGTCATCGTCCTCATCATCGTCGGCATCACCTGCCGCGCCATCTCTCGCAGACGGGTTGCGGCGGGCCGCCCGCGCTCTCTCGACCCTCATGCCCCGCTCCCTGATATCCTCCCATTTGGTGGCGCTGTGGGTCAGGAAAGAGAAGAGCGAGTCGTTGTGAACTCCTGACTGGTCATGCTGCCGCGCGAACTGAATCGCGTGGTTTGCCAAGCCCTGGACGATCTGGCCCGTCAATGGCATCGTCACTTTCTTGGAGTCAACCCGCGCCTGGACCCCCACCTTGATCCGCATCTGCGACCTCTCGTCGCTGAACATGTACCCGCTAACCTTCTGGTCCAGGATCGTCAGTTCAATCGGGTCTCCAACCTTCAGCTGCTTCGGAGTACTGTTGCTGCACTCCTTCTTGATGGACGAGGACGGGACCCACACCCCCTTCGCGCCAGATGTCCACCACCAGGCCCGTGCCGTCCGCGACCTCGACTGGCCGCATCGCCGACGCCGCCGCCGCTTCGTTGGGCATGTGGCGGAGGGCGATGTTGCAATTCTGCTTGTGGCCTGGGTCCGTGTGATATAAGCCTGCGAAAACCTTCCACTCCACGAACAACCGACACGGAATGAAGATAGCGTAGCACCGCAAACAAGCATTAGCAGGAGCGTCGGTGTCCGAGGTCTCGGGGAACGGGACGTCCTTGCTGTTGCCTTTGCACATGAGGCAAACTCGGATGTGCTGACCTGGCTGCTTGGGATGCTCGGCATCGGGATTCTTGCGAGATCTCTTACTGCCACCTGGATCTTTATCGGCATCCCTCCTGGCCGCCTGCTCACCTTTCTTGTCTCGGCTGGACATCGGCGGCAATGGCGGTCGCGAGAGGTGTGGGCACGAGGAAAGGCGCGGTGAAAGTGTAAGCCGAATATCTTGAGCCACAAAATTGCAGGCAACGGCACTCGCGACGGCCACGGTCAAACCTGGCTCACCGCCGTCGGGCCCCCTCGGGGCCCCCACCGGGCAGCTGGCCCCACATCCGCCCCGCGCGCGCGTGGGGCATTCGGGGCCCCGACGGGTCTCCTCGCGCTCCCTGTGCCCAATGCTGCGCTGCTCGGTCTGATCAGGGGCTGGGAGGCCAAATTTCCAAGTCCCCAAAGCCCGCGCGCGCTCTTCGGGGTCCCCCGCGTGACTTCCCCAGGGGCCAGAGGTGCCAGAAAGCCTCGAGACGAGCCAAGAGGGGCCCAGAAAAGACCCAGAAGGCCCCGATGCCGCCAAGACAGCCCAGGAGTGCTCCAAGACACCCAAGATCGCCACGGCCCAATAGGCCGCCAAGACGCCCCAGGAGCGTTCCGAGCGTGACTCCAACAGGACCCCAAAATGTCACAACTCGTATTCACAGATACTTAACGATGTCAGCTTAGCGCCATCAACTATTCCTGATGCCAACGCTCCGAGATTGCCCGAGAGGCGCCCGATGTCGCCCCAGGGTGGCCGAATAAGCCCCATGGAAGCCCCGAGGTGGTCCATGGGGGGCCAGACCCAGGACTCAGACGATCCAGGAGGCCGCCAAATCGGCCCAATCGGCGCCAGGGGGGGGGCCCAAGAAGGGCCCCATAAGGCGAACGCGCACTGGCACTACGAGCGTTCCGCCAGAACCCAGGCACGGTGGCGGGGCGGGTCGAATGCCGCTAGATGGCGTCTAGAACGACGACGAAGACATTGGGGCGGGCCCGAGATGCAGGGGCGAAGTTTGGGGCGGACTGGGGCCCTTGCGAAACAGAAAAGGGCAGCAGGGCGACGGGGAGGGGCGAGCGGGGGCGGGGAGAGGGGCAAGGCGAGAGCGAGGCAGGTTACGAGCGGGGCGAGGGGGCGTTTGAGGCGCCATCCAGCGGACGTGTCCTGGCCACCACTCTCGACGTGCAAGCGGCGGGCAAGGCTGCGCGGCGGGGCTCGGAGGCGCCTGGAACTTCATGCTCTGGTCCAGCCGCCGAGCGGCGGGCAAGCAAAGAGAGCGAGAGATAGCAGTGCCCCCCCCCATCATCACTCCTGCCGCGATGCCCCCCCCTGGACCGTCGTCGTCGGCGTCATCGTCGCCGATGCGTGGGATGACATGGGAAGCGAGGCCGCCGAAACCAGTGGCAGTCGAAATCATCAAACCCCCGCTGATGGCCCTGCCTGCAGCGCTGATCATCATTAACCCCCGCCCGCCTCCCCCCATCCTCATTGTCCCACCGCCCTCGCCCTACATGATCGGCCGTCCTCGTCTCCTTCGCACGCTGCCTCCATCGCCCTCTACAGCAATTCCGAGTTCTCCCCCTCCCTCCCCCGCTCTCCAAAGCACCCCTCCCACCCAGCCACCCCTTATCCTCGTCACTCCTGCATCCTACCCCGCCCCCTCCCCAATCCCACAACTAAAGCTATGGGAAGCACTGCCGCAATCTCAGCACTCAGCGAATGGCCATGGAGCGGTGAGGAACCTTCTTCTTGGGAGATGCCTGGATGCCCTGGGAAACTTTGGACGGGGAGTCCTGAGCCGCGATGACATTGGGACTCGAGAGCTTTGCCAACTTGCCGAGCTGCGTGTGCTGGGTCTGAGACGATGCCGTTTTGGGTTTCTTCACCTTGGCGGTTTCCTTCTGGCGTATCTCGGCGACTTTCTTGCATCTGCTTGAAGTCGTGACCCTCACCACCTCCCTCACGACGCTGGCAAGTGCCCTGGACGTGTTCTTCTCCTCTTTGAGCTCGCCACGAAGCTCCTTGACGATATTGATCAAAACAGGCTTTGTCAACCCCTCCAAGTCACGATAGCGAGCAGCCACCATCCCTAGCAGCTAGCAGGCAAACGAGCTGTGTACTCAGTGGACACACCGCAACACGATCAGAGGATGGTATATCCGAAACCACTCAGGCTGACGGTCTGGGCCAAAAACGATTACGGAGGACCTCGGGCTCGGAAACGCATTTCGTTTTACACCATAGGTTGCACCATATATTGCAACAAGGTAGGTTGCCCAACATAGGTTGCCCAATATAGGCTACCTGGTAACCCAACATAAGTTGCACCATATATTGCACCATAGATTGCATAGGTTGTACCATAGATTGCACCATAAATTGCCCAACATACGTTGCACCATAGGTTGCCCAGCATCGGTTGCACCAACGCTTAGACATAGGTTGCCCAACATAGATTGCACCATAGATTGCAAGAAACCACTGTCTGGGGTCCAAGCTGGCTGCCACTGACGACGACAAATACGATACAGACGACGACGAGGATGACGACGACGAGGCAAGGACGACGACGACGACGACGACGACGACGACGACGACGACGACGACTACCACGGCGACGATGCTGGTGCACAAGGGGGGGCAGGGTAGAACAGTCCTTGTATGCGGACGAGGTACTCGCGCAATCTTGCGACTCCGTCGCTGCCAGCTGCTTGCGGTCAGGAACTTAAGCGAAGTAGCGAATCCTTTCTCAGGCCGCTGCAATGCAACTGAAAAAACAAACACTTCATGCTGCACGAGGCCAAGCGGCCAGACGAAACTGTGGATATGGAGCCGTTCATCCTCACTCCGATTAATCATTCCTCATTCCTCATCAATCCTCCGCACCCATTGTTCCTCATTCCTCATGCCTCCTTCCTCCATCCCTCCTGCCTCCAGCCCTCCTCCATCCCTCCATCCTCCTCCCCCGTTAATTCGCAGCCATCAGCTGCTCGCCGTCTCAAGGGAGAGACTCAGCCTCGCGCTGCGTCTCCTCCTGGGGATCAAAAAACGGCGGCTGGGTGCCGTCTTCAAACAACGTATCTGCCAACTCTTCCTGCATGGCGGGGCTCGCCACGGGGCCCCACAGCGAGGCCCGAAACACAGGGATGGTCTCGCGCGAACCCGCCGCCAGGGCCGCTGAGGACCACTTAGACAACTTGGGCCTGGGGATCCTTGAAGCGTTTGGGACCCCCGTGCCGTTCACAGCATTCTCATCCGCAGGAAGTGACCCATCTACGACTGTTGCTGCTACAGCTGTCGACGTCTGATTCTGATCCCCAATGGGGCCCTCCATCGGCAACGTCGGAGTCGCTGCCAAAGACGGCTGCATTGGACTAGGGTGCACGCGCTCAGCCTCGGGAATCGCTGCCAAAGACGGCTGCATTGGACTAGGGTGCAGGCGCGGGGCCGCTGATGGCTGCTCGCGCGGGGCCGCCGTCTCCGACGGCTCTTTGGGCTCTTCAAATTGGCCTACGAACTCAATATCCGATGATGACTCTCCGTCGTGCTGCGTCTTCTGCCGCTTCTCTGGTGGAGGCGCCTCGGCGGCCTGTGATCCTGAAGGCGCGGCGTCGGCATCGGCTCCTGCTGCGCCCTGGTCGGTCTTCTTTGATACGAGAGTGAACTCTGCAGGAAGCGAGAGGCGCAGTGTACCTTCCAATGTTGCGGGCAGTCCATCCACCACTACTTCGAATCGCTGAGTAGAACCTCGTATCTTGATAAGCGACGGCGCCTTGGCGACTGCGCCATGCGGAGGCTGAGACATCGAGGCGATAACGAGTTATCAGCAAGAAGGCGTGAATCGCATGCACTCGCGAATAGAAAAGAGCTCTTGCTCCTCAAACGGCAATGGAACAACTGCAACAACAGTCGGCGACGACGATATGGTCAAACTTGTGTCTCGGGTGGAAACGGGCTGCGTCCGGCCCCCGGACTCGAAATCCAACATCGAAAGAGCGACCAACATCGAAATCCACAATGCGATGGCCAAAACGCGCCCCTGGAATTTTGCGCCCCCCCCGCGCACCGCCCCATTGACTTAATATTGATGGGCACGCGTGCAACAAGTTCTTCCGATGCACATTCACCAGCACCAACTCCACATACATGCAAGGGGCAACAACTGGGCTGGATATGTGATTGCTACCTGGTAGACATAAAGCGAATACAAATATAATTTAACATGTTCTCAATATTGCCTTGTATGTGCTTACTACTCTGCAACACGACTCTGGAACAACCTGACCTGCGACTACTATCACCAACACAACGCGCATGACTACATTGGCTGGCAGAATATTTGCCCCACCCCGCGCTGCCATGTTCTATTCTACTCGATGCTACTATACTTGTTCCTCGGCGACGCTAGTCCACTCTACGCTACTATACTATCATTGTCTCTTCCCTCCCCTCATATATTCTACTCCGCGCTACTATACGGTCATATCCCATACCCCGCGCGACGCTTTCTCGATCACGTTCTACTCTGCGCTACTCGACGTAACAACGCGCGAATGTACCTTACGGTAATCTACTTCCTTCTACCTCACACGGCCCCACGCTACGCTACGAGCGGCCTTTGCCTGGCGGCTGCCCACATGCGGCGCGCGCGATTGCGGTAGCCTGAGATCCCGCGCGGCGCAGCGGAGCGCCACCCGCGCGGCGGCCGCCCAACGGCGCGTCAACAACTGCTTGAACGCGCGCGTCGGACCGCGCCCTGGCCAATTGTTTTCTTGTTGTGTGCGCGACGAGTGCCCAAAGCATTGCGTCGCACCGCAGTGTGCGATGGGCGCGCGCGACGCCGCGCGGGCCGCGACCTCTTTCGCGGGGCCCCGCCCCATGTCGGTCGGCAAATGCGCCGATGCACGACCGACGCAGGGGCCGCGCGCGCGACGGGGGCAGCGCCCTCGCGCGGGCGACGACGCAATGCGAAACATCAGAGCGACGATTTGCTTGGGAAGGGGGGCGAAGTGACAGAGATGGCGCATGGCGGGGCGCGCGCGCGCGGATATCGGGGCCCGCTGGGCGACGGGCGCGGGCGAGGGGGCGACGCGCGCAGAACGCGCCAGCCCAGTTGATGTTCACTC